ACTGTTGACTCCAGGTGGTCCTCCTAACCCTAAGCAATTAAAAAAAAGCAACAACAACAATGATATTCACAGTAATCATTACCATGATGATAACAATGAAAATGATGACAATTGTAATGACAATGTCAATTGCCGCAATTACAATAAGAATGTCAGTGACAATGACAGTGACAGTGAAAGTGACAGTGACAGAGAAAGTGACAGTGTCAATGACAATGAAAGTGACGGTGTCAATGACAATGGAAATGAAAATGTTATTTACAGTGACAGTGAAAGTAACAGTAATAGTGACAGTGACAGTGATAGTGACAGTGACAGTGACAGTGACAGTGAAAACAGAAGTGAAAGTGAAAGTGAAAGGTCAGTCAGAGGTTGATTCGAAATTCGGTACGAAATGGCACCCAATAATACATTCAAGTATATGTACCTTTTGATCCAGTTGCATGACTCTTTGTTGAAAATGCAGAAACCTCTCATGTACGCTTGTATTCAGACCAGTCAAAGTTTGGGCAGCATCCTGTACTACGAGACGGATATCCTCTAGCTCTGTATTTTTGCCCTAAAATATAAAACGGGCCAAATTATTGTGTTAGAGAATTAGTGGGCCTACAAAAGTTGGTGAAATTAGTAAAGCAGTCCGCGTTTTGCTTTTGAACATCATGATGATGGGGATTGTAACAGTGAGAGATTCAGATAACGAAACTTACCTCGTTTTTCATGTTTTCCATTTTTTTTCCATCTACCATAAAGTAAGAAACTCGTGTTAAACTAAGCACACCAATAGTGATTTTTTTAATACAGATGGAACTGGAAATGGTTGAATTTAAACTTGCCTTTATCACTAGCTCCTTCAACTCTGCTGAGACCTAACACAAGGAAGAAAAGAAAAGAAAAGAAACTATTTAATATTATATCATTTTTTTAATAAATGTTTTATTGTTATTGATGATTTGCAACCATTATCATTATTATTATTATTAAGATTAAGATGATCATTACGATTATTAAAGGAGGCGAATGAATGGCAAACTTACGTTTTTCTTAAGTTCTTTTACATCCCCTGAAACCTATAACAATAAAAAAATGCAAATTAATATTCGTGATCAAGTTTCTTTGTAGAATAATACTCTCTTCTCATTTCTTGGTCATAATGATTTAATGACGATGATGGCTATATAGGTGCTATTCTTTAAAAAATGGTTAAAAAAATTAGGAGAACGCTGATAATGTCTGTGATAATGACACTTAAGATGACATATAGCAATGTTTATCATTCTCCCCCAGGCACACAACAGTCTCGGATTAGAAATAAAATTTAGATCACCACACTGCAGAAGTTAAAACAGAAGACATGCAATGTTGTTAACACAAAAACGATGCCTCCAGCCTGCGCTCCAGGGAATTATTAAAGCTCTGTTTAAAATATGTATATTTCTGTTCCATTACAATCAACGACAATCAGGGAGTTAAAAGTCCTTTTGGGGCCTTTAGTCTTATGTACATATATGCATCCATGTATTTCACATCGGTGCACTTTTGCTTTTAACTGACCACTGCTAATGATTTAGAATTACTCCTACCGAGTAATCTCTTAATGCAGAGAGATTCCAAACCAACTCTTGCATATTCTTTTGAAGTTCTGACATTTCTAGAAAATGGGAGACAATAAGAAAAACATAGAAAATGTAAACAAAATGAATTGAATTAAAATAGTGTAACAATTTTGAAATAAAAAAAAAAGCATCATTAGCCTTCGAAAAATCTCATGGAAAAAATATCTTGGACCATTAATAAATGTAAGTAAGTAAGTAAATGCTGCATTCAGCAAATTTCTGAGGCATACAATTAAAGAAACTAGAGTAATTGAAGTTGATCGGTTGTGGAATGAGCGCGGACACGTTTTGGCCGGTTAATCACCACATTTTCTTTCACTTTCGAAGTATGTTGCTATTTCAGTCAAAGTGATAATTGGCGACCATATATAATAAGCTGAGGCTGGGTTTTAAAGTAAGAACACATTCGGAAATATTTTGACTGATCTAACCCTCGTGTTGGCCTTTTTTATGATCCAGGCCTGTTTGTAAATGGATACTGTAAAGGATATCGACAACTCAAAGCGAGTAAATCACCTCGCGTAGACTAATCCATCTCACTAATCCAAAGCGGCAACGTCCAAATTATACTTCCTGTTACCACTAATTATATATTTTGTTCAGATAGGAACGATGATGGTGAAGTTCTCCTTACGCAGGCGGAGATGGCGATGATTTTGATCACGGGGTGATGTGAATGCGAAGATGGTTGATCTCATTCGAAACAGTATGTCTACATGCTGACACGGTATTGCCGGATGTGAGCCAGGCTGAGAGCTGGCACCCTCTCTGCTTTGCCGCTGCTGGCATTTCTTCTTGTCTCCACGCGTTCTTTTTTTTTTTTTTTTTTTTTTTTTTTTTTCAACATTACACATTTTGTGTTAAGATTAAATTTCTCAGCGTAATGAATTCTTTGTCCACTTTAAAGACGGGCCGGGATAGATTAAGCTAGAATGGATTTAACATGCGCAAACCTTAAGTCATAACCCTTTGATTTACTTGTGTGATATTTCAAAACAAATAAATCTCATGACTATTTGTCGAACATTTTCTTTGTTTCGCTTTCATCCCTCGCGTGTTTGAGATAGCAATAAATAAAGCCATTGCACACATAGTCCGAGAGAGTTTCACTGAGCATTATGAAATGAACATCGTTCAAGACCGTCAGTTCCTCGAGTTCAATAGAGCACAACTAAAGTCCTCACTGTGGCCCTATTGTTAATTGATTTTTTTATGAATTTAAATCATAGAAATACAACGTTATCTTTGTTCGACTAAAAAGCAATGTTTTGTTTACTAAAGTGACCATGATTACCAAGAAATGTGTGAGCCGTGTAAAATGATGTGACTTTTACATACTAGACGAAAAACATACACAAAACTGAAGAAAAGTCATATTGTTAAGTTATAATTTTATTTTTTTCACATCAAGTTTCCTTTGAGAGCCATATTTCCGACAGTTATAACATGTCAGTCGCTTAAGTAGCGGTGATTTTAGGTGTTATCCGCTTGTGGTTGCTAGTACTCCTTTTTTAACTTGATATACTAACAAATACCGCTTTTTCGTCCGTTTAGTATAAAATACAATATGAAACAAAATATTTTTGGAAGCTATTCTAAGGGACTGAAGTCTATATTTAGCATTGATAACAAACATAAGTGCTGATTTAAGTATATGAAAGCAACGGTTCGTAGTAAAACTGAGAGGTTTTCTGGGTAACATGACCACTTAGTTTCACAAAACTTTCTTCCACTCCCATCTCTAACGCTGACTATCTCAACGAAACTCTTGTTTTACTTCCATATACTTTCATTTTTAAGTGACATTTTGGATTTCTTATACAAAAAAATTGATGCAGCTAGGGACAACTTCTCGAAATCGATTTCACGCAAGAAATTGATCGCAATTAAATAATGGATATATGGTATAACAAGGGCGTAGCTGGGGGATTTCCCTAGGGTTCTTAGGTACCCGCGTCGCGCGTCGTCTGTTGCCCCCTCCTCCCCGCCTCCCCCCATTTGTATGCGTTATTGTTTTAGGTTATAATAGGTACCCTTTGTTTGACGCTGTGAGCCCTTTTTAAAAGACCTGGCTACGCCCCTGTTTAAAGATGGACAAAGTTTGTACGGAAAAAGACTCAAGATAATTCTTTGCGGTATTGACCAAGTGGTAAGAAGGTAAATAAAGCTAGGGCAAAAAGAACGGGCGCGAAAGTTAGTGGTGAAAAAGGAACCGAGTTTCTGATTAAATAAATCATGTACACCTTTGAATTGAGTATGAATGACAGGAAAGTCTCAGCCTATTAAATTTTAGATCTTTTTGAATTGTTACTTTGACATCAGGTAAAGTAAACACATTATCGCTAAATAGGGCGATTCCAACTGAGTGTGGAAAGGAATGCTACTTTGCTTTGGTTTTGCCGTACTTCGCAATATGATTGGTGTAGAACTGAAACTCACACATACTTTAAATCAGTCAGATTGAAAACTAAATCCAATCGCAATCTTGGTCTCTTGCGTTTTCTCACACTTGGGGCATACAACCTGTTTTTACTCCTCCTCTTGATTATGCTCCTTTGACTTTCCTTTGATTTTGGTTTTACAACACTCAACTGAAATGCCCTCTAAAAGAAAACCTAGTTCACTGGGTATATTTGAAAAATAGAATTAACGTTAAACCACTAAATTGTTCTTCGTCTCGTTTCTGATTCAACACTGCATCATCCTCTTTACAAAGATTCCTGTTCATTAAATGGCTTTCCGTTTTTCCTCTTATGACTTACACTCCCAGTAGTGCATGTAGCAATACATCGTTGTTTCTCCAGTTGTTAGGGTACCGTCGCAAGAGCACTTGTAGGTTCTCTTTCCACCTGAGTTGGAGCTTGATAACTTAGCAACTTTCGCGTCGTTTGTATCACAGTTTACGCCAATAAAGATTTTACCCTGGCAGGAAAAGAATATAATAAATATGATACTGATGATGATGATAAATTACGTCAAGAGTTCGAAATGTGGATGAGCAAAACATTTCTTTCCTCTTCAATAGGTGTACACATGACGTCGCATCAAACATAATCAAACAGAATCAACTTTCACAATCTTCAACTAAACTTACGTTAGGTTCCGTCGCCGTAGTTTCTTGTTGGGCGATCGAGTTTGCTGCCATACCAGTGCTGGTTAAAGTCTTAAAAACACAGGAACTGGCCCCGGGTCCAGGTGGACCCTGGGTACCATTGAACCCAGATGGTCCACGAAGACCCTGAACACCAGGTATTCCAGACGGTCCTGCAGGGCCCTGAGTACCATTATATCCGGGAGGTCCGGGAGGTCCGGGAGGTCCGGCAGGTCCGGCAGGTCCAGCAGGTCCGGCAAGTCCAATGTCACCCTTTGTACCATTATATCCTGGAGGTCCGGCAGGTCCGGCAGGTCCAACGTCTCCATTAGAACCGTTGACTCCAGGTGGTCCTCTGACGCTCGTGCTGCCAGTAGTATTTTTCACCTACTCAATTAAAAAAAAGCAACAACAACAATGATATTCACAGTAACCATTACCATGATGATAACTGTGAAAATGATGACAATTGTAATGACAATGCCAATTGCCGCAATTACAATGAGAATGACATTGACAATGACAGTGACAGAGAAAATTACAGTGACAGTGACAGTGAAAGTCAAAGTGACAGCGACGGAGAAAGTGCCAGTGTCAATGACAATGAAAGTGAAGGTGACAGTGACAGTGAAAGTCAAAGTGAAAGTCTCAATCTCAGTCAGAGGTTGATTCGAAATTCGGTACGAAATGGCACCCAATAATACATTCAAGTATATGTACCTTTTGATCCAGTTGCATGATTCTTTGTTGAAAATGCAGAAACCTCTCATTTACGCTTGTATTCAGACCAGTCAAAGTTTGGGCAGCATCCTGTACTACGAGACGGATATCCTCTAGCTCTGTATTTTTGCCCTAGAAAATAAAAGGGCCAAATTATTGTGTTAGAGAATTATTAGGCCTACTAAAGTTGGTGAAATAAGTAGAGCAGTCCGCGTTTTGCTTTTGAACATCATGATGATAGGGACTGTAACAGTGAGAGATTCAGATAACGAAACTTACCTCGTTTTTCATGTTTTCCATTTTTTTTTCCATCTACCATAAAGTAAGAAACTCATGTTAAACTAAGCGCACTGATAGTAATTTTTTTTCTAATACTAATGGTTGAATTTAAACTTACCTCTATCGCTAGCTCCTTCAACTCTGCTGAGACCTAACACAAGGAAGAAAAGAAAAGAAAAGAAAAGAAAATATTTAACATATCATTTTTTTAATAAATGTTTTATTGTTATTGATGATTTACAATATTATCGTTATTATCATTATTAAGATTAAGATGATCATTACGATTATGAATGGCTTACTTACGTTTTTCTTCAGTTCTTTTACATCCCCTGAAACCTATAACAATAACAAATGCAAATTAATATTCCCGATCAAGTTTCTTTGTAGAATAATACTCTCTTCTCATTTCTTATTCTTAATGCTTTAATGATGATGATGGCTACATAGATGTGCAATTTGCATGATAAGGTTCGCACCTGCTGTTCTTCCAAAGGTGGTTCAAAAAATTAGAAGAACGCTGAGAATGTCTGTGATAATGACACTTAAGATTACCTCTAGCAATGTTTATCAGGCTCCCCCAGGCACACAACAATCTCGGATTAGAAATAAAATTTAGATCACCATATTGAAGAAGTTAAAGCAGAAGAAGTGCAGTGTTGTTAACACAAAAACGATGCCTCTAGTCTGGGCTCCAGGGAATTATTAAAGCTCTGTCTAGTATATGTATATTTCTGTATCATTACTAACAATCAGGGAGTTAAAAGTCCTTTTGAGGCCTTTAGTATTATGTACATACATGTACCCATGTATTTCACATCAGTGCACTTTTGCTTTTAACTGACCACTACTAATGATTAAGAATTACTCCTACCGAGTAATCTCTTAATGCAGAGAGGTTCCTCTCCAACTCTTGCATATTCTTTTGAAGTTCTGACGTTTCTAGAAAAGGGGAGACAATAGGAAAAACATAGAAAATGTGAACAGAAACAGTTAAGGATTTCAAATGAATAATGAAGAGATGGATAAATAGATAAAAGATGAATCAATAAACACATATTGAAGCTTCATACATCCCTTAGTGAAATATTTCGATAAGCAGATTTTGAAACCATTCATCAAAAATCTTTCGAATAAAAAAAGGGAGAAATAAGGCATACTATTCTTGAACTAGTGTAAACAGTCACTATCAAGATTAATAGTTGTTCAACTATCAAAAATATGGTAAGGCCTTCTTTCCTACTTATTATAGGTAAACATTTTTCCAAGTTAATTCATAATTCGTAAGGAAGAAGGTACGTTGTATGATTCTTTTAACAGCTTTACATTCACGAGAAATTATGTCGAAATTGAGAAGTAAAAGAACACTACGATCTGACTTGGAAAAGATTCGATTATGGCTTGTAGCATTTTATGTTCCTTCGAATTTGACGAAAACAGAATTCTGTTAAATAATTAATTATCTACGCATATTAGTGCCCGAGAAACGCCTCTATATATTGGAAAAAAGATGAAAAATGGTTAAAGTTCTTAACACTTAACTGAATAATTTTGTTCTAAGGAGCCTTTGATTACTATTTACAATTCAATGACTCGGAGCGTTTGCGTCATTCACAATGTCTTCGGCCTTTGCATACTACGTGACGCTAACTTGTTGTTAAGTGGCTCACATCATTAAGATACCCTTTTGAAGAACGCACATTATATTTCAAAGATAGATTATTCGTTAGTTAAGCGAAGCTAAATAAATACGATATTTTTCCTCATATCCTAGGAAACCGTAAATCACTATTCAGCCAAATTAAAGAAACAGATGTAACAGGACAGTAACAAACAAAGAATAAAGATAGGAACTGGAATCGCTATTTTATTGCTCAACAACACTGATAAGGGATGACCTCAGAGGGCTAATTTATTATCTGCAAGAGGAATTTCCTACCCTCGGTTACCTCAAATGAAATCAAAATAAAGGAAAATTGTTCATTTTCTATACTCTAATTGTTAAATTAAATGGTGTAACACAATTTTCAAATTAAAAAAAAAAAAAAAAAGAATCATTAGCCTTCGAAAAATCTCATGGAAAAAATCTCTTGGACTATTAATTTAATGCTACATTCAGTTAATTTTTGAGGCATACAATTAAATAAACAAGAGTAATTGAAGCTGATCGATTGTGGAATGTGCACGGACACATCATAACATTTTCAATCACTTTCGAAGTATGTTGCTATTTCAGTCAAAGTGACAATTGGTGGCAATATATAATAAGCTGAGGCTAGGTTTTAACGTAAGAACACATTCGGAGATATTTTGACCGATCTAACCCTCATGTCGGCCTTTTTTTTATGATTCAGGCCTGTTTGTAAATGGATACTGTGAAGGATATCGACAACTCGAAGCGAATAAATCACCCCGCGTAGACTAATTTATTTCGCTAATCCAAAGCGGCAATGTCCAAATTATACTTTCTGTTAGCACTAATTATATATTATGTTCAAATAGGAACGATGATGGTGAGATTCTCCCTACGCAAGCGGAGATGACGATGATTTTGATCACGGGGTGATGTGAATGTGAAGATGATTGATCCTCGCTCGAAACAGTATGTCTACATGCGGACACGGAATTGCCGGATGTGAGCCAGGCTGAGAGCTGGCACCCTCTCTGCTTTGCCGTTGCTGGCGTTTCTGCTTCTCCTCTTCCACGCGTTCTTTTTTTTTTTTATTTTTTTATTTTTTTCACACGTCACATTTTTTGCTAAGATTACATTTCTCAGCGTAATGAAGTCTTTGTCCACTTTAAAGACGGGCCGGGAGAGATTAAGCTAGAATGGATTTAACAGGCGCAAACCTTAAGTCATAACCCTTTGTTTTTCTTGTGTGATATTTCAAAGCTCTAGCCGTCGTTTTTGACATGGATATCGCTAACTTTACCCAAGCGTCAAACATGTAAAATCTAGATCATTATTTAATGCAAAAGTGTCGATACTGAGGTCGTAAGGCCTTTCGCTAAATTTGCAAAACGTGATATTGTTCGTTGGAGTGGTGATTCTTTGAAAGTCAGAAATTAAAGCATTCACGATCCTTTTGACCTTATATTCACGCCATCCTTGAAATAAGATGACAGAACGACACTTGAATCATTCGTGGGTAACGAAAATATACTAGAAGAACATATCATTTTGGATATTGCTCAATAGCTTTTAAGTAGGCAGCTCCGGGGTTAATACCTTCATAAAAATACGTCTTTGCTAATCTTATAAAAAAGCCTTCTGGGAAACTCGATTGGATAGAGCACTTGTTTCGACAGCTATTCCATACTTAAATTGCTACATTTTTTGTCAATGTTTCATTTTATGAAATATAATTGACTTAAAATTTGAAATGCCCCCTAATTGTTTTTTTTACAAAAACTAGTTTGAGGTTGTTTGTGGAACTGTAATAACGCTTGCACAAGTATCCTGAGTCTATACAATTCGTTGTTAATAAGAAAGAGAAAAACGAAGAAAAGACGCAGACTTTGTAATTATCGTCGTCTTTAGTTGCTGTGGAAATGAGATATTCATGGAATGTATGGAAAGCTATTTTGTTTACGCTCCAAATGGCCGCGGAGATGATTGCTTATAAGTTAGGGTAATGGTGTTTACTGACGACAACTTTTCGTAAAACTTACGAAAGAAAAAGTGGATGATGGTGTTATCAGATGTTCAGACACAGTTGATACCATCGAAATTTGAAATACAAATAAAGTGCTCAGTCTGTATTTGATTGACCTAAAGTGTTTGAATACTCCTAAGCCATGTAATCACGCAATCCCGTTTCCCAATGATCGAAACCCTATCACTTTCTTTCTGTTCTTCCAATTGCCTCTTTCCGAGTGTACGAAAGGCTTTGCTTTGTTTTTCTTCTTTTCTCTCAGAACATTTAATTTTCTGACATCTTTAATCTATAGCTAAATCATATAACGTTTCTCGACAAATCCTTTAATGATCTGACGAGGACAAAAGGGTCAACAAATTTTCAAGCTCTGTTTTCCATCGTTTTTTTGTTTTTTTTTTTTGTTTTTTTTTTGTTTTTTTTAACATACGACATCAAAAACCAGGTTTAAGACACTTGGATTGAACTTATACTCGCTTCAAAAACCTAAGGGTTTATTCAATTCGATGTTCTTATGCTGTTGTTCAGAAAGTTCTCCATGTTTTCCTTTGAGTCTAAAAATAGCTGTCAGAATTTTTATAAACAAATGTCCTCCGCAAGTGACGGTATTCTTTGAATTCAACTTCACCCAAAGCCCATAAGCATCTGCGTAGTGAACGTTTCAAACACCGGAAATACGTCAAAACAAGATTTAGTTGGACTATGTACAATGTTGGGCAAACCAAATGGGTTATTTTTCTTGCGTGAGCAAATTCATTAACGGTGTTGTCTTTAACGTGTGTCATGTCCAAACAACAATAAGATTCAATACCTAATAAAGCAATTTCAAAATCGTTAGCTGCGGCATCAACTTATCTATTCCCACAAGTAAGAGAGGACATTTTTGAGCACACAACGGCCGATGATCTATGTATCGTTTGCCTTTTAGCAAAGATATCTATAAATTTCAAGCATCGAAACCTACGCGGTCTGTGATATAAAGAGTAGGAAAACTGGCCGGAAATTCTGGAATATTTCCCCACCAATTCGATTTTAAATCATGACTGAAAATTATGATAATGATTACAAAAAAAATAATAACCATAATATGAATGAACATGGTAAGAAATATTACCTGTTTTCCCAGAGCAGGAACATTGCATTGGTCCAACCACTCCAAACATCATCAACAGGGTGAGCATCAGTGCGGCTGCCGACATGAGACACATAGTCAACAAAAGAACGCGATCGCAGGCGGAAGATCGCCGTGACGACAAATTTTCCTCCAGATTCCATAAGTCAAGTCTTTTAGAATGAGGTGAACAGCTTCTCCTTTCATTTTGTAACCTATTCGTACCATTTTTTATTACATCGGTTTCGGGAAGGCCGTCAAGGCCCTCTTGACATTCATTAGCACCACCATGATCAGTTGTCTCAGAAGAATCCTTCTCATTGTTATTGATTAGACAACCCTTTTCTTTCATGGAGCCAAGCGAGTCTGATAACTCGGTTCCCTCTTCGTCTGCTGAGGGTGGCACTGGCTCAGGGGTAACACGATTGATTAGAAACGCCATTTTTGTGTTCTTCCGATAGCGCGCCTTATGTCTTTCGTCGTTGTCTCTTTGCTTTCTAGCCTGTTCGGTCAGGACATCCGGAATGTGGCCGGATTGAAAGCAATGTGTGCAATAAGATACTTTCTTGGCTGGGAGGCGCGTGCTGTGATCGACAGGGTTTCTGTGGAAACTGACAGGTAACAATCAATCAGAAATGTAGACACTTGTTTATGCCTGCTACGATTTATCCAAGCCTCACGCAGATCAATAATGGGGTCATTGACATCAGTGAAATGCTGTTTAGCCTGCAAAGCTCCCAACTCTGATCTTTCTCTTGAGGGTGCCGACGATAACTTGGTGACAAACTTTAGGAGTTAAATTGTAACATAAAATTGGTATTTGCACAAGCAAACTAGCCTAACCGTAGCCACCTGTAACCGAATGGAATAGTTATGACTAGTAATGATAGGCTTTTGCAATTATTTACATTCACTCTCGGTGGTCGCCAAATTCCTTGCAAATTAGGTGTCGCACAGAAACCAAAATATTGTGGCGTATTAAGTCTTAACTAAACCACGATTGGCCTGTGTATCTGGCGGGTTTGTGGGAATTAAGAGTGGCTTCCACAAAATTGCCTGTTATAATTGATGACATGAAGGTGAATGTACACACACGTTCTCTAACACAATAGTACCCTGCACTTACAACCGGACTACATCTCAGTCATTTTTACCATTTTTGAAAACGCAACCATACTCCATCTTGCGTGGTCTTTCATGAAAGAAGATCACTTGCAGCAATCTATTTGTACATCCTAGATTTTCTATTGAGATCAAGATGATGCTCGAACAAACTGAGAAAGCGTTGGCCGGTTGCTTCGTAGCTTTTTTACACTAAAATTGGAGCAAAATTTGTGAAACAATTTATGTCTCTGGCGTATAGGTTTACAACTGTACTTATAAAGAGGTCTGATTCCTATGTTTCCTAGGAAAGAGTACTGCGCAGCATTGCCTTAAAACAGGTATGCTTAGAAAACATCCCATAAGAGTTGAGTTAAAAGACATTGATTTCTGAATACGGTAAAGCTAGACAAAATTTGCCCTATTCACCCTTTTAGAAGCAGAAAATTATCTGAACAATTTATGCTGCAAAACGCATTACCTGTTAATGAGATTCATAAAATCTCTATGTTTAGTTACCAGTTTGAACATACGCTAAAACTTTTCGGTATGAAATTGTAAAAAAAAAATGTTCTTGGCAATAACGGAAACATAGCGGCAATACCCTGTTTCGAAATCGAACGAATTATAACCAACTTAGGCACAATTTATTATGTGCGTGTATAACCTGACAATGACACTGAATCTTACATTGTCACTTGACTTATTACGCCATGTAAACCTGCATTCAAGGCGAATTCTTTAGTCTTGATTACAAACCCACATCGAAACCCTTCATCATCATCGTTGACGCTTAATAAAATAATCGTAAATCGAAACTTTTATCATTCTCTTCACATTGTTGGCCTCAGCAGCCGGAAATAACATTTAGTCAGTAATCGATTTTGAGAATATGTATCTGTGGTGCTAAGCATGGCCATGTACCTATTTTAAGTGCACCCTTTCAATCTAGAAGAGAAAGTGTGTTATCGGTATAAGTGCCATGTAGAAGGACCAATTTACTTTTACTTTTCACGTGTAAAGTTCGATCAGAAATGTTAGTTCGTTCTCCGACCCACGTGCGTAACGGATTTTTTGGATCAATTTGGGTTTTGTTTTGTTTTGTTTTGTTTTTTTTTTAGAAAAATCATGAGCCTACCCCATACCATACTGGTATTGGAAGTTTGTCTTAAGGGGCCGAAAATGTCACGATGCGGTAATATCAGTTTGATTGAAACAAGCTGATATACGATTTAGCTGTAACATTATACTTTTAGTTTTCTTCGGAGACTATAAAACAACTTAAAGCCTTAGGCTATTCTAGGTCGAGACACGAGGAACGGATGATGAAGAAATTCACTAATCTATAATAGAATCTACCTATAACATTTTTCAAAAACATCATAGGATCAGCTAAAACCAACATCTTGAATCAATTTGTACGCGGTCGTGGGGGGGTGATGGCACTATTTTAAGGTATTTAGAGGGTTAGAAAATGCGAGTTGGTAACGTAAGATAGTAATTTCTTTTTAATGATACCGAACTCTGGCCGGATAATGTTTTAGTTAAAACATAATACAGTGTGTTTTGTTTTAGTGGTTGGAAACTTGAAGTCTTAATAGGAGGGCTAAGCTTACGACAGTCACGATGTGCAGACACTGGAAATCTTCTGGTTAGGTTACGTTTGCTTTCGCAATGTTAGTTTTCCCTCCTCAGTAATTTCTTAATCAATGGCAATTCTCTTTTTCTGGTTTCAGATTTCCTTCATTCCCTATTGTTTTTCGCGTGTGACCTTAATGTTTGCTCTCCGAAAATTTAGCGATTACGCCTTATTTTTCGGTTACTTGGCATACTTCCAACCCTTTGTTTCGACTTTTTCAGATTGAAACACTCAACAAGTGCCTAAATTGTTTTAAATGTTGGCATACATGTGATTAATTTGTTTTTCATGTTTATATTACATGATGCTTAACAGTACTGAGCGATAAGGTTACTATTCCCACGACTAGTCATCGTCATGCACGTGACAAATTTCACAAAGCACAACACTTTCCATCCCACGCTCATGATGCCTAAACACCTAGAAATTTTTTCCGTGGTTACTTTGTAAATAAGGAGGAAAGGTAAAGCTTCGTGCACTCACGTTTGAAACTCTACTCACTTCACCTAATATTAAAATGCCTCCAAAACTGCGGTCAAAATTTCTGGCTTTTGAAGACTATTGCAAATATTCATTGCCGGCACAAACTTTGTCATATAAGCTTGCGAGCTTGCAGGCAACGCTACCTTGGCCTTAATGGGAATGAAAATAAACAGAGGCACGATGGTTCGTACGTGCTTCCTAATCTACACCAAAATGGTAGTTAGGAATTTTCTCTTAGAAATTCTTGGGAAGATTGAAGATGATAGGATTATTCGCTAGAGCACGCTGTCGATTTGAATGAAATTTGTTGTCAAGATAAATCCGTTTAATTATCTTCCCGTAGAATGATTCTTCTGTTGTTTCTCAATTGCAGTAACATATTCAAGAGTGGGATAAGTACGACGATACACTGATTTTAATGACTTAAGAAACAACTATTTCAAATATTAATCTTTGCAAAAGATTTTGCAAAGATTTCGGTGATAACAGGGTCTACCTGCATGTTTTAGGAAGGGAGCAAGTCATGAAGAAACCATTCGTAAACATGGAATGTTTTCTTTGGAAACGTACTGAATAGAATTGACGTTTTCCTTCTTCTGTATGAAATTTGCTCTCGATACGCAGTTAGATGCATTATTTCACGTACATCTAGAGTATTGCAAATTGTTTTCACGTTGTAAAAAAACTCCCGAGTTACGTTTTTCTTGTTCTAATGGTGCCCGGAAGTCCAAAGTAAATAAAAGCTTGGTTGCTTTTTATTAACTGACTGTCATGAAAAATCAATTATCTCGCTGTTATGTTTAGACTAAGCGCGAAAAATAATCACAATGTCCTGAATATGTTTGTTTAAGTCACATTTGTATAAACTTATACACTGCATATCTTTGTGGAGAAGGATCAAGAACGAAGGCTTCTGAGCTATTAGGTACGAAAGGCAAGCTATCAAAACAAGTAAATCACATTCTTTCTAGATCGTTTTAAAACAATTTAAACAGGAATGCCATCTTCTGAATTGCTTGACTTGATCAATACTTTTTAGAGGAAAAAGAGGCTCATGATAAAATTGAGGTAACGAAATAAAGCATCGCCCAAATCCTTCGAGGTTTTTTTTCGACTTAGTTGAGGTTGTATGTTTATTTTGCTCTCAACTGGTCTGTAATCTTTACCACAACATGCTTAATCTATTTATTGCTTTTTGATTCGAACCTCTGTGAAGAGCTGCTTGATCAGTCTTACTGTATATTATGCCATGCTAGATTAAGTTAAAATTGATTTTCTTTTATGATGTTAATGATGTATAATACATGCCGTCTCCGAGATGAGAAATCTGAGATTATTAAATTTTTGCGCTAGACTGCACTTTACAAACAATAGTTGAAATCAAGATTACCTCGCAGTCTCATATAAGAGGCTCAGTTCCCTTTACTGTTCGTGGATTAATATTCAATTGACTCCTCGCACGTACAAGCAATAGGAGGATTTAGGAAGCTCTCACGTAAATGAGAAACGATTTTGGTATCAGTCCAAAAAAAGCCGGCTATATCTGTTTTCATAGCAATCATAGTCCATATCAACGTAATTAAGTATGAGATCTGTGTAATAATCGGGTTCGGCATATCAAACAACTTCGAGCAAGTTCCGCATAACATGAACAGAAGTGAGTTAACAAAATCACGCACGCCCTCTTCCTGAAGCCATAGACCCAAGCTCAGAAAAAACCGAATAACTTTTTATTTCTTAAGGAGTGTAGCACATTGGTCCTTATCTCTCCCAGGGCTAAATACGTGTTCAGGAACACAAAATAAATACACAATGGTTTGCTATTTATCAGCTCTCTGCCGACCGTTAACGGGTTCCTAACATACCCTATCAAAATGACGAGTTATCACTGAGCGGGAACGATTACTGGTAATTGATCACTTCTCATAGCAACCATCATAAACTAAGATTAAAATCTGGGAAAGGAAGGTTTCCTTTCTGTTTTTTTTTTCTGATCTTGAACTTTAATCTATTTGTCTAATTTTATTATTCGCTTGCCATCTTAATTCGCGATCCATACCCATTATTGTCTCGTTCATGTTTTTTTTTCTTGCCCTGAAAAGCCATTAATGAGGAAATTCTTTCCCATCAGCGCCAATTCCAATGAACTTTTAAAAAAAAAACCTAAAATATTAAGTAGTTGGACTCTTATTTGTGTGGATTTCAACTGGGAAATCACATTTAGTGAGAGAAAAAAAAAAGAATTTCGTTATTTTTTTATTTTTCACTTCAGTTTCTCTCAGTTTGGTATTAACATAACACAGCTTATGTTTGACCATAACCTAATTACTACTTCTCAAAAACGATATCAGTTACTTTTTTTTCCAGCTCTAAATGAAAGATTACCGGAAATCCAAAGTAAATGCAATACTTCCTCCAAGCCTTCAGGATTGTTTAGACAGTTTATCATTGAAAAACAATTAAGTGGCCCTGTTGTTAAGTAGGATGAATATAATCTTGTCAATGCGTATGATTTCCCTCTAGTTCTATTTTGTAGCAACTCAGACTACACTTTGTTCTCTGAGGCGAAAGAGCGCAAGTCGCCTCACCTATTTGAACGAGTCAAAAAGTGCAGACAATGAATGAAAATCA